TCCTAATCGAGCCTATGAAAAAGTTGCCTCTTAAATTCCCTTTAGCTAGAAATGTACTGGAATCAAGACTAAGGAACTTCTGTATGATGTTTGCAGTTCAGAAAATTATTTCCGCCAACAAAATGGGCAGCTGAGTTCAATGCAGCCCTGACGGTGCCTTTCTTCCACTGGCTTGTTGGACCTTCTGAGGTAATATGATCACTTACCTCGCTTGGCACTTGGCTCCCCTTCCCCCACCCCCGTCCTAAAAGAGCGGAAAAACTAATGCTTGATAAGTTGATAGGCATGACATACATATCATATGTTATTCTATAAGCAAAGTTAATAACAACTACTGCATAGAAAATGCAATGCATATATCAAGGTCAGGCAAGCAGTAAACATGTTATGTCTTAACTTGCAGCTACGTTAATCAGCTCAGATATGAACCTGGCTTAGCAGAGAAGCATTTCATTTATTAAGCCCTCGCCACTGTAGTACAGATCTCCATTTCGTTATTATCAAACTTGTGATTGTTCATTGGATCATTGTCTGAATCGGCCACTTACAACGAACTTTAGTCCATAAGCCTGAAAAAGAGAGAACATATACAGTTGATGCAGGATATAAGAATACTTATAACATAAACTAGAACCTAAAAACTTCTTAATTTTTATAGGTTAATCACTAATGTTGTTGCCTGTTTGGTCAAGTAGGTAGTTCATGATCGAATAAAGGAAGTGGACTACTGTTAATACTATGTTTATTTTTAAGAATAATATGGATTCGTTCACTAAAGTTTAAGCGCATGTATGAATGTAGGTTATAGAAGTGGAAGTAAACGGAGTGAAACAAAGAAGCGGTGTGCTTATAAAAAAATGCAGGTAAGACTATTAGAAGTTGGTTGTCTATCAGTAACATCTAAAGCGACCCCCAATTCATTTGGAGGAGATTTAACTACTCAGGCAGCCAGGAATTGCAACTGAATATCTTTCTCCATGTCTCACCAGGTACTTAGAGAACAGTGGCTGTGTTGGAATGTGTGTGAATATGTGCAAAATTCCAACTCAAGACTTCTTCACCAATGAATTCGGACTTCCTCTTACAATGAACCCAAGTATGTTACTGCATTCTCTCAGGTTCTACACAACTGAAAAGTGAAAGGGGTCGCTTTTCATTAATTAAGTGGTGGTTTGGTTGACATAAATTTATACCTAGTTCACTAGTGGAAATCTCTATGATCATTTATTCAAAAAACTTGTAATAGACTGTAAAGAAGGTTGCTTGCCTAGTCAACTAATCTCCCCTAAATATGTAAGATTACTGTACAATTGTTGGCACTCCACCAAATAAAACTAAGGAATTACAGCTCCATGGGATGTAATACTTCATCTTTTAACCAAACGATTAGCAAGTATGAATCGCAGACTAGTGGTCATAACTATCTAATCTATCTTAATTTCATTGCCCAAGTAACATAATTAATGCTTAATTTTGAGCAGAATTTGAAGATATGAGCTGCGAAATGGTGTATGGGCAAGTCCCACCACCATTCGAAGAAGATGAAGTCTCCAAACAGCCTTGTTATAAGGATCTATGTAAGCACAGAGAATTTCGACTACATATTCAATGGAACTAGAAATGCTGTTTTCTGTTTTCTAACTATTGGCTTATGAACACAGGCTCCATGGCGAATCCTAGCGCCAGCCTTTGTCCCAAATTGCTATCATAAGAGAATGCCTACGCGATATCAGTTATTGTCTACTCAACTGCTAGCCAGAACCAGAACTATATACAGAGATGACAACATACATTTATACATGTATAGAAACACATAAGTTCACTCTATATTGTCTACAAATTTTGTTCCTGTGTGAACAATATTCATCCAATCTTAAGATCAACTTGAAGCGATGCTCGATATGTTCTATATAAATTTACTAGATAATAGACATTAGTTTCCCAAATTTGTAAACATATCATGTACAGACTGCAGAACATAGCTGCTCTAGGGAACTGATTTTTCTGCATCAACCAAACAGCAGTATCTCTGGCTTCTGTAATCTAAGGCGAATTGAATCGTGCCTTCGAGTTTTCTAGACATTAACATTAAGTCATTGACAGCAGCTTTTATCTGTAGAAATCACAGCTTAGGTATGAAATAATTTCTACTGAACTTGACAAGGCTCATAGGTCATAACATGAGGTTAACAGGTCAATTACTACTACAACAGGACAACTCCCATTGTCAACTTTATCCACAAATTATAGTAGACATGTTTGGTAAATGGATTTTTGGTGGCTTTTTGGTTAGCTTTTGGCTTTTGGCTTTTTTATGTGGTCAAACAGCCAAAAAAAGTGTTTGGTAATTGAGTTTTCATCCAGCGAAAAAACTAGCTTTTAAGCCAAAATGAAAAAGCTACTATGAGTAGCTTTTTGTTGTTGACTTTTGGCTTGTTGACCCACAAATTATCTAATAAACAGCCAACAGCCACAACTAAATTTACCAAACACTTTTATAAACAACCAGCTTAAACAACCAATTTCAAAAGCCATTATAAACAGTCAAACATTCCAGCTGGTCAAACAAGCCAAATGAACCACCCAACCGCCAACAGTCATTTGACAAACAAGGCCAAAAGTATAAAAGTATCTAATTAACTTTGAATTTTTAGTCATTTACTTGTACTTTACATCTTTGTAATGTACTTAAACACTAAATGCACATTAAAATTATCTTTTAGATTTATTATCTTCATTGTGTCAAATTTAGCCGCCCGTATGCACAATTAGCGCAATGATGTGTAATTAAAAGGTAATTAAAGGAAAAAGTCAGTCAAGCATGTAAGAGGATGATGGTACCTGGTACGGAAATTCCTCAAATTGTTAACCAAATCTCCCTTGTAGCCTTCAAGAGCTATAGTCCTATAGAGTTGTAGCTAAGCTTCATGACTAAACTACCCAAAGCTCTCATTATTCGCGAAATTCTTTTAAGGCCATCTTTCAGATGAACAAGGAAAGCTAATGGTTGAAAATTGTCCAAAACTACGAGTCTAGGACCATTTTCAACTACTAGAATTTCACAATCATCTTAAAGAAGACAAAAGGTGTCTTCGATCACAATTGATAGAACAATAATGTGCAATTCTACGCACCATGCCCTATGTGCATAACACATGCTGGTGAATATGATTGGCGCTTCCATGACTGAGTGATGCACCTATGGGCACGTTGCAAATACACCTTACAAAAGGTGTACAATTCACATTTTTTAAAGAGAGATGACATGATTTCACAAAAATACGCATTATAATACTTATGGTTATTCATCATCCCTCCACGACTCACTTAGCTAAAGTATGAGTGTATTTGAAAATGTAATCACATATCCAATCTATTTTAGGATATGTGAAATTTTATTTTCCAAAACAGCTTAATATGCGTGACTAGTGACTACTACAACTCTACAAGTTCATCAAAGGGGTGTAAAAGGTAAAACCTAATTACATCTTATTAAGTCCATTTTAGCAAGGGGATCAATCTAAAACCAAATATTCAAATTTAACAATTTAAACAGCAACATGATTATCATCCCGATAAATGTGACTAATGATTTATGTGATACTTTAGTGCATGGCTATGTTATGGTACAGTACAAATAGTTATAATTACATTAATTTTCCTATGCTAAGTCCTTTTCCTAAATTAAAGCCGTAAGTTAATGCTATTGGTACGCTATATATCGATCATCATGCCTAACTAGATACTCTTTTTGAGGAATTAAGATGGTAATAGAGCAAACACCCTTTTGAATGCTTTGATCACAATAACAGCACAGTCAACGAATCAGCCTAACCCATATGCACCAATATTATGATAATCAGACAAAAAAATCTCCAAATATGCAACAGACTCCAAATTATTTTTTATACAAGTATAGATTATAGAAATGTTGGTCACATGAAATTTCAGTCTTCAACTAATACAAGTATAAAGTCCATAATCCAAAAGTTCAACCAAAACCTGGATCATTCTACCTTCTCCAATTGTACTAGCTTGTACTCCAACATAGCTAACATGTGATAAAGAGTCTTTTAATCCGTGACCAATTTCCTCAATTTAGGCACCTAACTATGCCTTAAATTCCTTGATTCGCCTCTTGTTACCTCTAATACTCAAAACATGGCCCATTCTAGCTTTCTTAACGTGCAAATATTGCCTAATTAACTTCCCCTCGTGCACAAGTAAGATAATAAGGTGACTGTTTGTAAATACTAATCACGTTGCTAGATTTGAAATATTCAGAATAATTTTTCACATTATAATATTTGTCCATTTTGTAAAATGGCAATGTACAGAAATAGAGGGTGTAAATGGCCATTTTACAAAGGTAATGCTATATTGATCTCTCACTATAGTCCATTTTGTGTTACCTTACATAAACGGATTCATTTACTCTATTATAGTACATTACATACAAAGTAAGATATGATCTGTCATTAAACCGCCTATTTCATAACTTCACAAAAAATTTCAATACACTATGCTTCATCATGTGTTCATTTTTAAGCTACCAAATACATATTACTAGTACATTTCAAACATTAATAAAATATCTAAGTGGTTGTTTAACACCTTATTAAAAACATTCATAATCTAAAGAGATTAAATAGGAATATAGAGTATTTATGATGAAAACAAGGTGAAATCCAAGAAAAGACAAGAAATTAAACAGTATCCAAAGACCTATTTGTCCTATACTCATGTTCATTGGGCAACAATATTCTTCTTCTTTCTTCCTTGACCGTTATGATAAGGTGCAAACGGACCCCACATTAGACCATTCAATACCATATTACGCAGTTGATCCCGTGACACCTTCCAACTTTCTTTCATAACGACCAACGAACTCTGCCTCACTGATTATAATTCCAAACTTGAATTAATTACAGTAGTACCCCGTGATCCCCTAATTATCCACTATAAATATTCAACCTTGTATACTATAACCTTTCAACACATCTTCTCCTATCTTTTTCAACTAGTCTAAATCTTCTAATGGCTAAAATCTCCTCCCTAACAACCTTATTCCTCATTACAATTTGTTACATTAGTGTAACAACTAGCGCCTTCGCTCCTCGGGATTACTACGATGCACTCCAGAAATCGATCCTATTTTTCGAGGGTCAGCGGTCAGGGCTGCTGCCACGAAGTCAGCGGCTTAATTGGAGGGGTGACTCTGGATTGTCTGATGGCGCTTCTTACCACGTAACTAATTTACTTGCATGATTTGTATCTACTGAAAAATGTTGGCATGGACCTATTAGTAATATTTTACGTTACTCGTTATATTTCTTTTGGTTTGCTTTTCAGGTGGACCTAGTAGGAGGTTATTATGATGCAGGGGATAATGTTAAGTTTGGCTTGCCAATGGCCTTCACTACAACAATGCTGGCGTGGAGTGTTATCGAGTTTGGAAGCTCGATGCATGACCAGGTTTCAAATGCTAAAGCTGCCGTTCGTTGGGGCGCTGATTATCTACTTAAGGCAGCAGCCACCCCAGGCACCTTATATGTTCAAGTGAGCAAAAAAAAAAAAAGATTCTCTAGCTATTATTGCTACCATGTGTGAACATCACTAGTAGAAACTAATAAACGCAAAATCAAGCATGATAAAATGCTTTTTAAAACACGTTTACTTAACGTTAATCACGTATTGTCTCAAATAAATGTCATTTTCATTAGTCACAATTCACAAGCTATTGTTTGGAGCTGTTTTACTAAAAGAGGATAGCAACAGAAAAAATTTGATGAGAATTAATACTAAAGGCATGTTTAATAAGCGTGTTCAAAAGTAGGAAACATAATTGCTTCACCTAAAAAGAACATTAACTAACACATACTTTGTAGGTGGGAGAACCAAACCTGGACCATCAGTGTTGGGAAAGGCCAGAGGACATGGACACGCCACGGAACGTATACAAGGTGTCCACACAAAATCCAGGATCTGATGTAGCAGCTGAAACTGCAGCAGCCCTGGCTGCAGCTTCGATTGTTTTCAAGGATTCCGATCCTTCTTACTCGAGCAAACTACTTCACACGGCTATTCAGGTAAACAGACAGACTCAGAATGAACAACTTCCTGCTGAAACATAAAAAATGATCATTAGTTAAGAAGGCTAAGTGAAAATCTTCAATGCTGCTGCAGGTGTTTGATTTTGCAGACAAGCATAGAGGCTCTTACAGTGATTCTCTGAACTCTGTCGTCTGCCCATTTTACTGCTCTTACTCAGGTTATCAGGTAAGTCATTCAACCATCTCTTCGCTTCGTAGTCCTCGAAACACAGTCTGAAGTTATCATTTCTTGTCTTCAGGATGAGCTCCTGTGGGGTGCAGCATGGATTCATAAGGCTTCCGGCGACTCCTCGTACTTGTCCTACATTCAGTCCAATGGCCACATATTAGGTGCTGAAGAGGATGATTTTTCTTTTAGTTGGGATGATAAGAAAGCTGGCACCAAAGTCCTTCTTGCTAAGGTATTTCTTAAACAAATTTCACCTGTTTGAACCCAGTTTAGAGGTAATATTATTACTCACTTAACATTGCTTCTTTTGACAGGACTTTCTGCAGGATAGAGTAGCAGATTTTCAGGTGTACAAAGCACACGCCGATAACTTCATATGCTCCTTTATACCAGGAGCAAACGATTATCAGGCCCAATACACTCCCGGTAAGCCACTAAGGAAGTGAATATGAATCCTGAATAACTGACACACTATGTTACTTGGACTCGTGATTTCACCTCAAGTGTTCTTGTCAAATCTTCGCCAATATGACATAGATATAAGCATTTGACACTACATTTTGAACCAAACTCGTGCCTGACACTTGTACACGAGTCCATTCCAAGTAACATTGTTAGCACTTATTGATCTCATATTGTAGATGTCTCATACAATAAAATATTTGCAGGAGGACTCTTATTCAAACAAAGTGACAGCAATCTCCAATATGTCACAACAACATCATTTCTCTTATTAGCATATGCCAAGTACCTTGGTAAAAACGGAGACATAACCTCGTGTGGCTCCTCAATAATCACATCAAAGAAGCTAATCTCCGTGGCCAGGCAGCAAGTTGACTATATTTTGGGTGACAATCCGGCAAAAATGTCATACATGGTAGGATTTGGCAACAAATACCCACAACGTATCCATCATAGAGGATCGTCCCTGCCATCTGTACACACACATCCTAGTCGCATTGGTTGCAATGATGGGTTCCAATACCTCAACTCCGGATCACCAAATCCTAACGTACTAGTCGGAGCTATAATAGGCGGTCCAGATTCCGGAGATAAGTTTTCAGACGACAGAAACAACTATAGACAGTCTGAACCAGCAACTTATATCAATGCACCATTTGTTGGAGCTGCTGCTTTCTTTTCAGCGTACAATGAACGATCCTAACATTACTACATTAGCATCGATAATATAAGATTGGAATTAGTATGTATTTATGAACAAGATTGACCATTCCTTAAAGAAATGCAAGAAAATTGGTCATTCTTCTTATTAAAGTAATAGAATCAATATCAAATTTCGTCAGGTTTGAAACAAAAATCACTCTTTGTTCATCCTTCGATTTATGCTCTGTACAACTTTGAATTACTTAACATATGTTACATGAATAACAGAAAAATAACATAGGTTTTACTGTTAAACAAAACCTAATTATGAAAACAAAAAAAATAAAGTGAAGAATAGCGAAATTAAATTATCCAAAAACAAAACCCTGAAAAATAAAATAATACAAAATCAAGAATCTGGAAAGTAAAATGAGAGAGTGATCATCAACGTACCTTGTTCAAAGAGCCAAAGGCGCGATTTTTAAACCAACGCAAACCCGTCAGTCCGTCACGACAAATTCCCAATTTCAATTTGTTACAAACATTCGACAGAGTCGGGTGAGTCGGGTCAATTGCGCCTTTGTGCTTTCTCATTGATTCACTTGTTTAATTCTGCAGTACGACTATATGAGCCTACGAGGTAATTACCGAATGTTTACCAAAAAAAAAATTAAATTTACCCCGGAGATATAAATTTATCACTTTGATAAGCAAATGACAAAATAGTAACTAATACAAGTAACATTTTATTAAATTAGAGGCCGAGTGTTATTGATATACTTGCGAAAATATCATCATAAATGTTTAATTAAATCAGATTTACACTAAACTTATGGTGAGGCGTGTTCTCATACGTGCCATTCTATTGCTACCTACTCCGTAATAAATTGCTTTATGAAAGTTTTCTCTCCTCATTTATTTTCCTTTTTTTCAGAAAATTTTCACTCTCTTCTTCATTTTGTTTCTTTCTCATCTACTCAAATTTTCTCTGTCTTCTCCTTCTCTCATATCTTCTTTGATTTAAGGGTTTCTTAGCGTTCTTCATCAATGGATTTCTAGGTTTGTAATATCAAATTAATTATACATTTTCCTTAATTTACTGTACTTTAATATAGAATTTTCATTTTTAAAAAGTAGTATCATATTTTAATTATTTTGTTACTTGCAAACACTTCGATGTAGAAGAATACTATAAATCCAACTTCTGAAGAAGTCAATCCAAATACAGGTGATTTCTTTTATTTGTTAGATGATATCGATCTAGAAGTTTTTTTTTTTTTTTTTTTTTTTTTTGTGTATTTTTATATTTTATTCATAATGCATGTTTAATAGTTGTTTTGTATGTTTTTTTCCTCTAATTTTTTAAAATATGTACATTTTTTATACTAATTTTTTCGCTAATTGAATTTACTCTGAGGTTGATAGTTTGAGGACATTTTAATTTCTGAATTGCTTATGTATAAAAAATGTAGGAAAATTTATACAAATGATCCAAACTATGGCCCTTCTTCTCATGTTAATCCCAACTATAGATTATTATAGTATAATCTGAACTATATGGGATACCTTCTCAAAATAATCCCGATGACCAGTGACCTATTAGACCGATTTATTTTTGTTTTTGTCTAATTTCAAGGCTATTAGCTCAAATAGTAGAGCAATGTACTACTGGTTACATGGTGTGGGTTCGAGCCCCACATACCCTAAATTACACTTGTTTATAAGTGCATTCCTATTGTTGGTTTATTATGGTCATATTTATAACATGTATCGAGCATGGCACTCTTGCTTAGGATCAATTAAGTACTTTTGTTAAGGTTACTTTTACTTTAGCGAGGGTCACTTTTGTTCTTGATTGGGGTAATTTTTGCCTTAGTAAGGGTCACTTTTGTCTTTGATTAGGGTAACTATTTTTCTCAGTAAAGGTCACTTTTATTTTCGGTTAGGGAAACTTTTGTTAGGTTTTACAGCAATTCAATTAACAAATAATTACTTGAAGTTTGTGGAAAATAAAACCTAAATAGTGTATAATAATCAAATTATACAGCAATCAAATACTTAATCAAAGTATTACAACCAAGCACCAAATAAACAATGTATATTCTGAAATTACAAACAAGAACACTAATGTAAAAGATTCTAACTTGTCTCAACTCCAATCCTTGATGATGATGAACATGAACATGAGAAAATTGATGACCACTTGAGTCTCAAATCTTGATACACTGTCAAAGGCGTGTATACACTTTCCTAAAGAGGTTTTATTCCCTCACACGGTGCTTGGGTTAAACCGAAAATCCACTTTGAGATACAATTGACAGTAAACTTCGTTCTTAGTACTAGAATCGAAGAATAATGAATAATTCAGAAAGAAAGGCTAAATTTCAAGAGATTTCTCACAATAGTTTGCAAAAAAATTGAGAGAAAAAGTGGAAAATACTTTTGGGAGAGAAAACAAAGAAAAATGTTCTGTGTATTTTTCGTTGTTCACGAAAATTCTCTTTTATAAGATAAATAACCGTCAGCAAAAAACCGCAGAACTGGGAAGCAGCATAGGCGAGCAACAAACAGGCGCGTGCGCGCCACAACAGGAGCGGGCGTGCCTCAAACAGGCGTGGGCGCGCCTCTTTATAAAGCGAGCGCTCCTCCCAGAAAGTGTGCAAATGACACCAAAAGACAGTGAGGGGCACGGCTTAAACGCGGGCCCGGCACCAGAGGCACGAGGCGCGTCTCAGACAGCGCGGCCGCGCCCCCACTTTCATCCAACATGCTGATTTCCAGAGTGGTGCGCGGTTTAGGCGCGCTCTCATCGCGGCCGCGCCTACTTGGCGCGGCCGCGCTTAACATGGGCGCGGCCGCGCTCCATACAACACTCTAAATCATCAACAATCCTCTCGCATTTAGAGTGTTTCCTTAAAACATTCTCCACGACTATCAATTTAGTCACATCTCATGCATTAATGCCAATGTCCCTACGGATTGAATTGACACCTAATATAACACATTTAACGATTATCATATCCCATGATTTCCATACGGATTGAATCACACGGATATATCCAATCATTCGAAGGTGAAGTACACACAAGACAAATCGAATTAATTATCACTTGACACTTTTAAACAACCAGGTGTCCGTATCTTTCATAAGTTCATCAAAGTCTATATGTCCATTTAGACTTCTTGAAACGGCTAAACTTCGAACTTATATAGGTAGGTTCTCATATACGTAATAGTGGCCTTGTGATAAGACACCTTCATTTAGAGTTTCTCAACTCTAAATCTTTGAGAACTTTAAATAGACGCTACCTTTAACATCACAAGTATCACAGCAATATGGGTCACTAACATTGCTAACAAACAACAAAAATGCAATTTAACCACATTGAATCTAAGACTTGATGTTTCTTCAAGCGTTAGATTGGGTTTCACAAATTCGTGTTTTTGGACATAAACCCATTCCATTCATAGCAAATATGATGGAATGCTTTGGCATTGTTTTAGTAAAACAATCCGCCAAATTTAACTTTGTTGGAACATAGTCAAGACTTATGACCCCATCATTGATAAGCTCTTTTACTAGGCTATGCCTAAGTGAAATATGCCGAGACTTACCATTATACACTTGACTATAGGCCTTTATCAACGCCGAATTAGAATCACAATGGATTGCTACTGGTGGCATTGGCTTTGGCAATAAAGGCAATTCTATCATGAGATACCTCAACCACTCAACTTCCTTACTAGCTGAAGCAAGAGCAATAAACTCCGCTGCCATAGTGGAATCCGCAATGCAAGTTGTTTCTTGGAAGACCATGAAATGGCACCTCCCCCAAACATGAATACCCAACCACTAACAGAAGAGTCATCCTCTTTGTAAGTGATCCAATTTGCATCAGAATACCCTTCTAAAACCGAAGGAAATCCACTATAAGATAGACCATGGTTTAACGTACCCTTAAGATACCTCAAGACCCTCCGAATTTCAAACCAATGTTGTATACCCGGGTTACTAGTAAATCTATTAAGTTTCCCTACAGCCAATGCAATATCCGGTCTTGTACTCGTCATGGCATATATCAAGGATCTAATTATCCTTGAATATTCCAATTGGGAAACCGTTTTACCTGAATTCTTAACCAATTTAACATTAGGTTCCATGGGGGTGTTCACGGGACACTTATCAAACATATTAAACCGTTTGATCATCTTCTTAATATAATGAGATTGACTTAAAATAAGTCTACCATTGTCCCTAATAATCTTGATGCCCAAAATGACATCTGCCTCCCCCAAATCCTTCATCTGAAAAGATGAGGATAAGAATTCCTTGGTCAATTCTACTTGTTGTAGACTTGTACCAAAGATAAGCATATCATCAACATATAGACAAATGATGACACCATGACCTTTGTCATCAAATTTGCTATATATACACTTATCTGCTTGATTCACTTTGAATCCAAAGGACAAAATCGTGTCATAAAATTTCCGAAGCCACTGCTTTGGTGCTTGTTTAAGTCCATACAATGACTTAACCGATTTACACACCTTATTTTCCTATCCTTCCAAAACAAACCCTTCGGGTTGTTTCATATACACTTCTTCCTCTAGATCTCCATAAAGGAATGTCTTCTTGACATCCATTTGATGAATCACTAGATTATATACCGAAGCCATTGCAATCAGTAACCTTATAGAGGTAATTCTTGCAACCGGTGCATAGGTATCGAAATAATAAACACCATGCTTTGCCTAAAGCCTTGGATAACCAATCTGGCTTTAAATTTCACTATGGATCCATCTGGTCTCCTTTTCCTAGTGAAAATCCACTTGCAATCAAGAGGTTTGCAACCGGGAGGTAAATCCTCTAAGACCCAGGTATTATTTCTCATGATGGAATCCATCTCATCATTTATGACTTCCTTCCAAAATGCACTATGTTGAGAACATATGGCCTCGCTATAACTCTTTGGTTTACTATCCACATTAAAACAATATGGAATAGTTGAACTAAGGACATCACTAGACCCTTCGACTAAATAAATTATAAAGTCATCAAGAGGGTTCCTAGGTTTTCTTTCCCTAGCACTTCTCCTAACTTGAGGAGTTTCAACATTCTCATTATCGAATGTATCTTCATGAGATTCAAGTTGATCATTCAACTTTACTATCTCTCTATCATTGGCACTGATTTGTAGATCTTTCGGTCTACTCATTGATGAAAATATTGCATCTCTTGACTCAATAACCGAATGAATCGATATATAGTCATTTTGTTCTATTACATAGAACCTATAGGTTTTTCTATGCTTAGCATAACCTATAAAAATGCAATCTAAGCCCCTTTCACCGAGCTTTCTTTTCTTGTTGCCAGACACTCTTACGATTGTCCTACAACCCCAAACCTTGAGATATTTCAAGTTTGGTTTTCTTTTGTACCATTGTTCACAAGGAGTAGATTGTTTTCCCTTAGTGGGAACCCGATTAAGAATGTGACAAGCTGTC